GCCATCTGTGGAGTACTGCTACATTTTGAGGGACTCCAAAATGTTCGACACAGATATGTCGAACTAAACCCACGGCGTAGCTGATAGGGATTACAATTCAAGTTCGATTCAGTTCACTGATCCTCCGGAATAATCAATTTTCTCTTACAAAACTGTCAATTTTCATGATACATTTTTTGCCTCATTGTTAAGCGATAACGTACATGCATACGTCTCCTACGTCATCTGTTTTCTCAACTACCACTTCATCTTCTTCATGCATTAACCCAAATAACCTAATAAATCATACACAATTTCTTGACATATTTATGCCAATGCACAGGCAAAGAACCTCGAAAGGGAAACGATAAACCTCCGGGAAAAAATTGATTGCCATTAAATGTACTCGGCTGTAATCAATCAGCGAGTAGAAAGTGGGCAAAAAGACGATTTTGTTTATGGAATGCGAGATGAGTTTGATATAAATATATTTATATAAGAAAGATACCGGACCACAAAAAATGATTTGAATGTGCACAAGGTGCGTGAAAGTTTATATCTCGCGCCGTTCGCTAGTGCAATCACAATTGTCTGCGTACTTAAAATCCTTTAAATTGTTTTTGAGTTGGCAATAGTGTTGGCAGGTCAGTATAAAGATTTCAATAAATTAGATAAGAAACTTCTTCGGGAAAATAAGTTCTCGATACACTTTAGGTGATATATTTTCCGAAATACGGCCGGGGGTGGGATGGGGGGGTGGGGGTTAAGGTGGAAATAAGCGAACAGGGTGGTTCGTTTGAAATGACAAATGGGTCGAGTTTAGAATTTCGATGCCGTCGCACAATCACTGGCTTAGACGGTTGCGATATTGCCCGCGCAAAAGACAAACGAGCGATAATATCCGGAGCAGGCGCTAGAAAGATGGAGCTCGTAATTCACCGTACACCTTTATTTCTCTCGACGAGAGAAGCGCCGTACTTAAGGCAACCTCGGGACTTCCCCCAATATACTGCGTTCGGCTGATTTACACCGCAACCCTTCGCTACGACGCCGGAAAACTGTCGGCACTTTATTTTCACTAGAGAATAAGGATAGGACAACGACGTGGTGAACTGCGAAAAAGATTAAGGAAAAAAGCCGTCGACCCGAATGCTAAATCAGTTCGAATGAATAAGAGAGCTAAAATCATTTGTTAGATACTCTAAATACCAAAGGATGGAGACCAATTAATATTAGTACCTACTACTACATCGTAAGGTCATCAGTCCTAAGATTGGTTAGACATACACCTGCACTGTTTTTTATCCTGAGCTAATCTTCGAATTTCCCTAAAACTAGAACAACCGACATCCTTAACTATTTGCGAACAGTAATCTAATCTAGGTCTATCTCTACCCCTCCTAACTCCTGTTTCTGTCTCTAATTTGTGTCTGACTAGACCTTCATACCTGAGAAAGTATTCTACCAACCTATCTCGCCTATTTCTTATCGACTTCCATAGAGTCCTCTGTTCTCCTATTCTTTCCAATACCTCTTCATTTCTAACCCTCTCTATCCACGGTATCCTCATCATTCGCCTGCAACACCACATTTCGAACGCTTCTAACCTTTTCTTTTCCGCCGCGCCCAACGTCCATGTTTGGCACCCGTACAGCGCCGCGATCCAAACATATAAACCTTTAACAATCTTTTTCAATTTCTATATTAATCGTTCGCGAGCAACTTCTTTTTATTGAAGGCGACTCAACCCTACGTCATCCTGTGCATTAAATCCCTACCACTCCTTCCGTCCTGGCTCATCTGACTTCCTATATACCTATAATCACCAACTTCTTCTAATTTTTTCTTTATATTCGCTCTTTCGCTACTTTTTCTTACCTAGTACCAGTTTTTTTGTTTTACTTTTATTTATTTTCATACAATACTGTTTTGTCAATACCGCTTCCATTTTATTTAAAGCTATCTCTAACTTCTCCTTGCTAGATGCTAATACTACTGGATCATCTGCAAATGGATGCATAATCTTTTGCCCCTCTATATCTATCCCTACAGTTGTACTGTCTTTAATGATGTTGATTGCGTCTTCGATGTATAGATTAAAAATCAAAAATCATCCCTAAATTTTTAAGTATATTTAACATCTTGTCCCATTTAACACTGTCAAAAGCTTTTCTAAATCTATAAATCCTATGTACGCGCTCATTCCTTTTTCTATCGTTTTCTCTATTGTTACTCTTAAAGCGAGAATGACTATGACATCCCGCGTTCCTCTATTTCTTGTAAACCCAAATGGATCTTCCCCTAATAGTTCTTCCGCCCTTTCTTCCATCCTCCTCTGTACAATTCTAATTAAGATCTTTGACGCATAGGAAGTTAAGCTAATTGTTCTAAATGTCTGGCATCTAACTGCGGCTGTCTTTTTAGGTATGGTTACTACCTCTTCTATATATACCATAATGTGGTAACAACCTATTGATCTAGCGTAGGCATATTTGTAACGAAAATGTGTGCAGCTATCTCCTCCGATGATAATACGACTATCTGCAATTAGCTGACTATTAACGGATAGAACTGCTCCAATGATGAGGGTAAAACCATAAACGATATTCTAGCAAACTTCCTGACAATATACTTCAGGTTTTCAACCAAATACAAAGAAAATATAGAATATTTGCAATGTTTCTACAACTAACTTTTAATGAATGAACAGGCAGTAAAAAAGTAGAAAAAAGAATCAGTTAAAAAATACTTTCGTAAAAAAGTTTCGTATATAAAATTAAGGCCGGTGCATTAGAGGGGATTAAGTCATTTTGGTTACGGTCCTGTGCTGGGTCCTCGTGAGCTGTTATCTCTATAATTCTCGAAAATAAAAAGCAATCAGGGAGATATAACGTCGGTCGTTTCTCTTATCTTTATACTTTTGTACAACTTTCGCGGTGATAAATCGCGACCAAAGCTACCTCAAAATGTGCTGCAGAAACGCTATTTGGAAAATGATCCCGGTTTTAATTTTATCTTCTGCTCCTCTAAAAGGAAGTTTATAATCGAGGGGTGGGTCCTTTATGGCACCTTTTCGACTCTGTTTATAAACGACAAATCTCTATACACATACACACACACCCTCGGCTCATGGATGCAAATAAAAAGAAGTTTAAAACATTTGTAATTAATTTCTATTGGCTATCTCCTCTCAACACCCTGTTTACGAGTCCTTCATTTTTTTTTTTGAATCGTAAGTAATGACTTCACAAACAAAGTTCGCACTACATATAAGGGCGATTGTTTAGAAAAATTACGGATAAAAAACATATTGTAGCGAGCAACGAGTGTGTTTGTGTGCGACCGGTGAACGGCTTATCGATCCGCCGACTAGCCGCAGGCGCCTTTCTTCGTGTGCGCCGTATTTCTAAATGTGTGTGTCGTACCTGCGTTCTGCGAAAGCAGTTAAACAGTTCAAAGAAAAAGTAAACTATCCGGATGTTTCCAGAAGGTTCCCGCAAGTAAACAAAAGAGTATTTAAAGGAAGAGACGATCGCCGACAGAAGGAGAAATAAATTGGCCGTTGCAGAAGTGAATCCAGAAATAAATTGACAGTGATAGCTGTGAAATAAATAGCGCAGGGAATAGTGATATATCAACAGTAATGTAAATAAATAGAATTTTTCATAACCTAAGTTTAGTAATAATTTAATAGTGTTTTTAAGTTCTTTAATAATTAGTGTAAATAAATTAGTGTAAAGTTAATTTTGTTAAACCCACAAACATTACAATATGACCAGCGCAGTTCTTTCAGCCTACACATTAGTGCAAAGCCGAATGGTACAGTGGAAGTGAGTCATTTTTAAAAATCGTGGGGGTGGATGGGCGATGGCTACGAAAAGACAGATAACACTGAAGTATTTTATAGTGTTTAACAAGGGTTGATGCAGTTTATAAGTGTTAATAACTGATGGTTTAATTGTAAGCTTAAAATGAAGTGTTTTTATCAATGCGTTCGGTATAAAAATAATAATTGGTTATGTAATTTAAGTATCTTATTATTTTCAGTCTAGTCGTAATGAGAGGAGAATTTCGTAAAGATTAGGTTCGTAAGGAGCACGAATTACGTTATTAAAAAAATGTGTGAATAGTTAAAGAAAAAAGCAATGAAAATGTAAATAGATCAATAAATTGACATCTGTTAGTAACGGGATTTTTTCCTCTTGCGTCAATCCATTCGGGTCGTGATAAAACACAAACAATCAATTAAGAAGTAAAAGAAGAAGATGAGAGACAAAGAGGGCTATAAATAAAGCGCCCCAAGCGTTATAATGAGGGATGACAGCGCGGCAATGGGGTGGTTGCTTGGTTTTAGTCGGCCGTGCTTTTCTTCCCGGCGCGGCGCGTCACTTGTCGTGGAAGAGCTTTGTTTTCTTTAGAAGTCCCGTTCTATTAAGTCCCTACTTTCACTAGCAGCCACGTTCGCGTCACAAGTTATGTCAACATTAAAAAGATATCAGCGGTGCGCACGCCCCCGACGGCCGTTTTCTTTATTAAAATGGGGGATTAAAAATTCTCTCTCTCTGTCTCTCTCTCTATCCCTCTTCCGACAGATTTCATGAAATATTAATGGAAGAATTTGATCTTTTTCTTTGCACGATAAATTTGCACCTCTTCAGCGACAGCGTCTGCTTGACGATGTCATCAATTTTTCTGTCGACGACGTGTTCGAGAAAATTAAAAAACTTATTCCCAATTCATCTCCCGGAGGACTTGAAGACAGACAGGTTAGGTACTCATTCGATGGATCTTGGATACGCCAGACACGAAGTTACGGTTAAAAACACTATATAATAATTGTTAAACAAAAAAAGAAAAAAAACTTTTTCTTAACGTGTCTTATTTTTAATGAACCTACCAGCTTCTACGAGATCATTATTGTACGATTGCATTTAAATCGATTGGGAACGTATCTTTCATAATTACAACAGGTAAAAAACGGAAACGTATATTAATCAGCATAAAAGTTAGTAATGACTTACCTATATTCGTAGCACTGGATTAGATACACTTAAACCAACTTGACCAGCAATTGTAGTGTGTAGCTTAGGTATTATCTTTTGATTTCGTTCGTACGAACTATGTGGATGATACAAAGTCCAAAACAGACTTATCGATGCATATAAGGATTAATCTGTAAAAAAACAAAAATTGTAATAATGGTACCAATTAATAGCAAAAGTAATTATTGTTACTGTTTGATAGGAAGTCAGATAATACAGCATAGAAAGAGCAGTAAAAATATAAAACAGATGATAGCGCAAGGTCGAGTTGTCTTTAGTAAAAGGAAGTTAATTTAGAAATTCTAGAGAGATTGTTAAAGGTGTATGTCTGGAGTAAGGCTTCGTATAGGTGCGCAGCGAAAAAGACAAGGTTACAAAGGTTCGAAATGTGATGTTCCAGACGAATGATGAGGATAGAGAAGTGAACGACGGAGGAGGTATTACAAAGAGTAAGACAATGAAGAATAGGCAAGATAGGTTGGTAGGACACCTTCTCAGACATAAGGGACTAGTTAGAGATAAATTAAAAGAAGAAACCGGAGTTAAGAGGAGTATGTGCTAGTTTTAGACAAATCCGAAGATTAGCTCAAGATCGAAAAGAGTAGAGAGTCTTAGGATTGATGATCCTAATACAATGATGACAATGAAATCATCATTACAATCGTAAATTTCGTTAGAACCGTACTACATATGATTGGGATTTTTGAAACTTTCACCTGCACGATATACGTAGACACAACTACCTCCATCTACCTCTGATAGTTTTAAGTTAAATTGAAACGATTTGTCAGTGTTACCGTGAGCGATCCATTATTCAGTAGACAAATGTGAATTAATTGAAATAAATTGGTAGGTAACGAGTGGCAGCAGCTGTTAAAGAAATATATGCTACAATTACGCAGGAAGGAAATTTAATCCTAGCCTCGTCGACGAAACAAGAGAAAAGGAATTTAATTCGGGACCCGAAACGTTTTAAAATAAATTCCCGCGCTGTAAATGAATAAGCTTTACGTTTGATTGAGAAGCGATTCTGTGTTTGTTTGGCGCTTGATAGAAAGCGAGGCCATTAATTTAAAAAAAAAAAAGAGAGCGCGATAAACGAAAGAAAAAGGAAAACTAATTTTGAATGACAAGAAAAGAAAAGAAGAAGAGTTACAAATTACTGTAAGATTAAAATTAGTCGCAAACAACATCCAAAACACGTTGCGGTTTTTGCAAATTTATCCGCAACGTAATGACTCGCATTTTCATTATCTAATATCAGTAACAACAACACGTTGAAGAATAAGAAATAAATTTCGCAAATACAAACGTGTTCTTTTGTTTTATGCATATACCTTGAAGGAATTGCTTCAATTTTTGGAAGCAAAAGGTAAGTTTATAATTACCACCCACATCATATCTCTATTGGTATTACTATAATATACGAGGGCGGTTCAATAAGTACCCGTGTTAAAAATGAAGACACATTTTTTTTTTTAATTTGTTTTTTTATTTTTCAACATAGTCCCCTTTTAGAAAGATACACTTCTCCCAACGACCATGCCGTTTTTTTTACCCCTCCAAAAAATAAGATTTGTCGAACACTCCAAAATCCCCCTGTCTGGGCGATGACTTCCTCGTTTGAGCTAAATTTCTTTCTCGCTAGTCATTTCTTCATGGTAGCCAACAAGATGAAGTCACAGGGAGTCAAATCGGGGTGTGCTGCAGCAAATTCATAACGTAATTTATGCATTTTGGTGGCAACAACTCCTGATGAATGTGCCGGTGCGTTATCGTGTTGAAAACGCACCTTCTTTTTCGTCAAATGCGTCCGTGTCTCCTTCAATTTTTTGTCGAAGCGGCCCAATAACTCACTGTAGTGATCCAGTGTCCAGTGATGGTTCTTCCTTTTCCTAAAAAAATCCGTAAAATGATTTCCTCGATAACAACGTTTGCCAGGCTTCCTGGTCGCTCCTCTCAAAAACGGATCTTTGTCCACGTTTAAATTCGTTGAAGCAATATCTGACTGTGGTCGTAGATGGCGAAATGTCTCCATAAACAGTATCCAACTTTGTTTTCATCTCCTCGCATTTCTTCTCATCCAAAAACAAAAAGCGAGTTACCGAACGATACTGCTCTTTTTCCATCTTAGCGAAAATAACGAAACACGTCTCAGTCGAATGGCTGCCAAATCCAAACTAACCTATCAATCAGTCTGAAATTCGTTTTGGCGTGGTTTGATAGATGGCAGCACACGATGACAACACCAATTTCCTTCAGGAACGACCTCTGTCTTCAAACTCGGGTACTTATTGAACCGCCCTCGTACTCTCCACACTTTTTGTAATGCTCCAACTTATAAATTAAGATTACGGCGGTAATGTAGGCAGTGACATGGAAATAACCGATTGTAACATGCTTTAAATTGGACCTCGTGTTAAATTTATGAGAAAGGGCCACCAAGTTCACCACGCCCTTTCGTGTTCCATCCTGTTCCCTTTAATTAATTAGACCGACTAAATACCTTTCGGGTGCTTTCTCTCTTGCCATTCTATTATTTCACCTTTGTTTCTCTCCCGAGCATTAGGCTCGCATTTTGTGGCCAGGAGGTAACGGAGAATTAGCCTTAATGACTGGACATTAATTGGACCCCAACGGTTACAAAATTTGACTAAATTTATTCAACCTAAGCGTATCTCAAAATTAGGCGAATCCCTAATTAATTTCTTCTTCAACTCAACTAATTATTTTAATCAACAAATTTATTTTACGAAATGTGCGTATTGGCTCGGTTTCCTTAATCGTTTTGTTATGAGATAAGTTTTTGAACAACGATAAGGAAGGAGACGATGGACCGGATTAATGTGCACGGGACATATTAGGAATACCACTGCGTCGCGTTGGTGCGAAAGCAAGCAGGAATAGAAGGAACAACGCTACTAATTACAGAGGTTTAGGGTGAAGGTGGTAGCGGAGGCAACCCTTTCTCTCTGGCTGACATAGGCCACTCAATTACGAAAGCCTTAATTAGTCTGTGACGGCCCATTGCTGGCTCATTAATCCAACTGAAGAAGTGTCGACAATGGCCTTATTGCATTGCGAATTGTACTGGCACCTTCATATCCAACAGGCAGGAAAAAGATTTACATTTTTCAACAAATAATAAGCAATTTTTTTGAAACTAAAAAATATACATTGCAAGAAATTAATAGGGAGATTCAATTTTTTTTATGTGAAGATTTATAAGAATAATATTAAAGAAAAATAACAGCTTTGGAACCATAGCAATATTTTTCCTGCTTTATTCTAATCTGATTTTATTCTGATTTTTTGGGACATCCTGTAATCCAAAAATTCAATTCAACATCATCAAATGGTTTTAAATGCTTCAGTGAGTAATTGCCCTACACTTAAGAATTTAAAAGAAAATAGCCATTTAATCATTGCTTATAAATAAAAATAGACATATGTCCGTGTATTTACTTTTCAACCACAACCACCTAATGTAGGCCACCAATGAATGTGGCAGAAGACTCAAGAAGTCTTCTGTTGTGCACCATGTCTACAGCTGTGTTGATGTGGGAGATGTGATGGTTAAAAGTCGACCAAAGCGTACAAAAAAATGTTTAGAATGTCCTATAATGTTCTAAATTTCTCCAGTTTGGTGAATGTGTGGCATCAACCACTAGCGGTTTAGAACAAGTGAGAATGTACTTATTAGAATGCTCTTGAATGTTTTTAAGGCGGTTCTAATCTAGAATGCCCTCGAAGATCAAGTATGGTCCTCAAGGAAAATGTTCTAGAGTGAACTGGACCAGAAGAATTAGGAATGTAGTGTTCTGGAATGTTCAGGAACTATTATGTTTGAGTGGTGAAGCTGGGTTCTAACCAATTTCTTCAACTCTCGCAGTTTACGAAAATTATAGAACATTCAACATCTCTATCAATTTGAGAACGCTATCTATCCGTCCATGTCTGAGAAGGTGTCCTACCATTCTCATACTTTATCTCCTTTTCCTCAAATTCCTCCTCATTTCTAACCTTTTCGATCGACAGTAGAGCTATCATCCTCCTATAAAGGACTAATACTATTACTCTCACCATGCACAGAGTGATATAAATAAAACTTTTAATATGTACCAGCAATAAGCACAATAAAATTCATTCCATTAGAAATGAAATGTATACTTGTTAATAGGAACAATTTAATTCGTCTTAGTGGCCGCTAATTTCGGCGTGGAATTTTATTCTCTCGCCATACTTTTTATTTCGGCATCGTATTCATTTGACGTCTTTTAGTGAAACTTGACCCCATTTCCATTTACTAGTAATTCCATAAGTGTCACTGTCAAATGGGTACACTTTAGAGTCATGTTTCAATACTCTCATGTACTTTAAGCATTTCAAAGAGACACCTTTTATTCTGAGAACGGAGAGTATTTAAAATTAGTCCTGACACTAACGTCGTGGCTCTCGATGATGATGAAATTACTTAATGTCAAGCGACTTTCGAGTGCGATATTCTTTACAACTGATGGATATTTATTTTTATTGTTCTTTCTTAAGAAGCACCGTACAGTTTTACAGTTCCAAAAATACTTTTATTATATTACGACAGTTGATATCTCAAGATAAATTCAATGTAAACAAGGACAAATAAAAAGTTTTTTGTTTTAATCTTAAGGGACTGAAGTAATTATTCTTAAGTTGATATTTTTAAGAGTGTATTTAGTACAAAATGTTATGTACAGTAAATATAAAAGTGAATGGAAGTGGAAATGTAGATTTTTATTCACTTTTTTGTTATAAAAAAGAATAGACTCTGCACCATGTCCCACTAGTTGTCAAGCCTTGTTGCGAATGTTTGCTAACTCGATAAAACGAAAACGGCATTTTGATCCTTTAAAAGTGTATTTCAACACCACTCTGGGGGTCCCGGAATTTCAAATTCCATTTCGTATAATGCGATTCCCCCGACATGGCATCGGGACTTCGGTCTCGAGCGCTCCTGATGTAGACGCCACCCCCGGTGGGGCTGTAAAGCCAAACGCTCTTGGACGTCTTACAAGAAACGATTTTCATTTCATAGCCTCCGAGAAAAATGGCTTTTCGATCTTTGACAAAGAAATATTTACTTTTTATAAA